TGAGTTCTTATAGTCTAGAGAAAGCTACTACAATACCCATTGGCTACTTTAATCATGTTTTCTCTTTTTTTCTTCTTTTTGTGCTAGTACTGGGGTTTGAACTCCATGCTTTGTGCTCTTGTTTTCTTTCTCTCAAGGCTGATGCTTACCACTTGATTCACACTTCCACTTCTGGCTTTTTTTTTTTTGCTGGTTAATTGGAACTAAAGAGCCACCAGTGCCCAGCTAATCATATTTTAAAGAACAACAACAACAAAAAAAAAAACACTTTAGTTCTGAAGTGTCACAATAAGAAAAACACTCAGGAAGTTAATGACTACTTTTTTAATTGCATGCAAAAACTATTTGGACCTGATTATACTTCATATATCTATTAAGCTATTTTTTTTATTATTTTTGTTGTTGTTGTTGGTTGTGGTGCTTGAAAATTGGGCCTGGGCACTGTCCCTCAGCCCTTCAGCTCAAAAGCTAGTGCTCAACCACTTGAGACACAGCGTCATTTCTGGCTTTTTCTGTTTATGTGGTGCTGAGGAATTGAACCCAGAGCCTCATGCATGTGAGGCAAGCACTCGACTACTGAGCCACCTTCCCAGCCCCTCTCCCTTTTTTAGTCAGTTGTGGGGCTTGAACTCTGGGCCTGGGCACTGTCCCTCAGCTCTTCAGCTCAAGGCTAGCACTCTACTACTTGAGCTACAGTGCTACTTCTGGTTTTTCTGGTGGTTAATTGTAAATAAGTGTGTCACAGACTTTCCTGCCCGGGCTGGCTTTGAACCGCAATCCTCAGATCTCAGCCTCTTAAGTAGCTAGGATTACAGGCATGAGACACTGGCACCCGGCTTCTTTTTATTATTTTTTAATACAAAGGTTCCAATTCCATAAGTCAGGTTTGAGTACAGTGCATCTTGATCAATGTTACCTCTTCTGTAGTTCTCCCTTATTTTTCCCCATTCCTGCACTCAAAAAGTGTAGTTCAATTTTTACTTAATTTAAACTGAATATAATGAAAGTTCTTATCCTTTTTTAGCTCATTTCAAGGGACTCAGAGGATATACTTTCCCTCCTGAATACTGTACCTCCCAAAAATAACTTTAATAACTTGAATTGATTCTAAAGATTACAGTTGGAGAATAATTGATATCAATAAGTTAATAGAAAGAAAAGTTCACTTTTAAACCTATTAAATTGCAGTAAAGCAAAATAAAACCTACAAATAGCAACTATGGAGATTACTAAGAATTTTCCTGTGTCTTTGCCTACTAGAAATTTGTCCTTGACTCCAGTTGGGGTTTCCTTACAATTAAAATGAGATCTGTAGGTCAGCCTTCTATCTCCAAAATCCCATTCCTTTTACTTATGCTATAAGAGGGCCTAATGTGTTCCATCTATTTGCAACTTGGAAGCTTATTCATTTTAATTTCAGGTTCATGACAGGATCCTTTTACTTATGCTATAAGAGGGCCTAATGTGTTCCATCTATTTGCAACTTGGAAGCTTATTCATTTTAATTTCAGGTTCATGACAGGATTTCCAACATATTTGAGACTGGTTGGGTTACCTCTTAATAAGTAGATCTTCTCAGGCACATCATGAACAAATATAAAAAGGAGAAAATGGAAACAATGAAATTAAGAGTTGAGCAGAAACAAAATTATCCCTAAACACTCAAGCCATTGCTATAGTACTGTAATCATAAATTCAGTAACAGAAAAAGAATGACTGATAATTTTCTTCTTTCTCCTACTGAGATTACTATTTAAGTCCTGCCACAGCCATTCACCTTCTTTGTTTGGCCTACCAATGACCACCTCCATCATTCCCATCCCACTCCACACCCCTATGGAGTCTCACAAGTGTTCCTGTAAGAAACAAATCCAAGATACTAACACCTAAGCCTATTCGTGTCTTAGCCATTTCAGTTCAACTATCTTTAAGTCAAATTTGAGATGGGGGGACTTTATAAGTACATAATCATTTGAGGATAAGATCAATTAGGATCCATCTATCCAAATTAAATTATATATTCTAAGAAGACTATCTTCTCCATTGTATCAAATCAGCCCCTACCATCTGTTCTTAGACTACCTAGCTATTGGCTCTGACTGAACAAGTCAAGCAACTTCTTTTGATCTCAGCTTTTCTTATCTGACAATTAAAGGGAGATTGGTCTGTCACTGGAAAAAAAAAAGTACTTGAGACAAAGGAAGCTACTCTTAGGAGAGGAACACAAAGGCATAATGCCTATGTGCATCAAATGAACTCCAGGAAATGAATACAAGTTTTTCTTTGTTGTTTTTGCATTCTTTTTGTCTTGTTTGTTTATCTGTATTTGAGAGGGTAAGGGAGCACAGAAATGGAGGGACAAAGGGTGAAAATATGCAGCAATGGTACTTACTAGACACTATGTTGAAAATGAACTTGATGGTGGAGATGAGAGGGGGAAAACTGGGAGAGAGTGAGGGAAGGGGTGACATTATCCAAAAAGAAATGTACTCTTTACTTGACTTATGTAACTGTAACCCCTTTGTATATCAACTTGATAATAACAATAAAAAGGGAAATAAAAATGAAAATAAATTACCGACAAAAAATTACCTGAGAAAAATCAACTTAAAGAAGGAAATATTCACTATAGTTCATTGTTTCAGAAGTTTCAATCCGGTCACTTGACTACAATGCTTTGGAGCTAAAAATAAGGCCAAAATATCATGGAAGAAAAGTACATGGTAGGAAAAGTTGCTCACTTTCATGGTATCTAAGACATAGAAGGGGCCAGCAATAAGATATAGGGACTGATTAACGACTTCACTCTATTTTTTTTGGAAAATAGAAAAGGAGAACATTTTCTAATTCCTAATATGAGGCCAGTATTACACTGGTTCCAAAAGTCTCTGGTTTGGGCAGAACAAAAGAAGAAAGGAGGGAGGAAACAAATCTGAGTATATAAAAGAGAGAGAGAGAGAGAGATTACCCAGGTGGACTCAATCTGATTACCAAAACTTTAAAAGCTGAGAATTTTTTCCACAGGGTAACATAATAGGGTATTGAAGAGATTTAATGGATGAGAGGAGCTGGTGTGCTACTATGGCTTTGAAGATGATCATGTGCAAGGACTTGAGAGCAGCCTCTTGAAGCTACAAATCCAAGCCAACAGCCAAAAACAGAATAGAATTCTATCTATCTGAAGGAGCTTGAAAACGAATTCTTGCCTTGTTCCTTACCTGTAGACCTAGCTACTCAGGAGGCTGAGATATGAAGACTGAGTTTCAAAGTCAACCAGCTCAGGAAAGTCTGAAAGACTCTGATCTCCAAATAACCACACAAAAAAGCTAGATATGGGGGCTGGGAAGGTGGCTCAGTGGTAGAGCACTTGCCTTGCATGCTCGAGGCCCTGGGTTCAATTCCTCAGCACCACATAAGAAAAAAGCCAGAAGTGGCGCTGTGGCTCAAGTGGTAGAGCGCTAGCCTTGAGCTGAAGAGCTGAGGGACAGCGCCCAGGCCCAGAGTTCAGGCCCCACTACCAGAAAAAAAAAAAAAAGCTAGATATGGAGCTGTGGCTCAAGTGATAAGAGTACTAGTCTTGAGCACAAAGCCCAAAGACAGCACCTAGAACCTGAGTTCAAGCCCCAAGACCTGCATCAAATAAACCAAAAAATAAAATAATAAAGGGAATTCTTCCCTAGAACCTACAAATAAGAGCCTATTTGTTGTGCTAGGCAGCACCTTTATTTTTACCTTTAAGATGCTAAACAGTAAACCTAGACTCTACTGTTTGAAATTTCTGACCTTAAAAAATAAAAGGTAATAATTGGTTCTAATTTAGGCCATTATGATTGTGGTAATTTGTTATATCAGCAATGGAAAACTACTATTAATGGGTAACTGTGGTAGACCCATATAATCAAGTACTAGTCAGCACTGATCGTTCATGACTGTAACCTTACTCCAGAAGCTGAGATCTAAGGATCATGGTTGAAAGCTAGCTCAAGCAGGAAAGTATGTGAGACTGATCTCCAATAAAGTATTCAGAAAAAGCCAGAAGTGGCACTATGTCTCAAGTGGTAGAGCACTAGCTTTGAGCAAAATGAATCTCAGGGACAGAGCCCAGGCCCTGAGTTCAAGCCCCAGGATTAGCACAAAAAATATTTACAAAAACAAATTATGCCAAGTTAAAAGAAAGAAAAGACTGGATATTATACTATTTCATCCCCATAAAATTCTAGAAAATGCATACAATCTGTAATACAGAAAACAGATCATAATTACATGGAATGGAATAGAAGGGGCAATTAAGGAAAAATGGATTATAAAGAGCCATGAGAAATTTTTGAGTAGTGATAGTTATGTTTATTATCTTATTTGAGATGGTGGATTCATGGATGTATCCTCAAGTTAAAAGTCATTAAACAAAGCATTTTAAATATGTATGATTTATTTAATAGTAGAGAATGGCCAGATACTAGTAGCTCATACTTGTAATCTTAGCTACTTAGGAGGCTGCATTCAGAGCATCTCAATTCAAAACCAGCCCAGACAGAAAATACCTCAAGATTCTGCCCCCAAAATAACCATCAAGAAGCTAGACTGGAGTCATGATTCAAGTAATAGAGCACCAGCCATGAACAAGTAAGCTGTATAAGCATATGAGACCCTGTGCTGAAGCTCCAGTACAAGCTTAGAAACAAATACAAAAGCTTTTGAAATCTTCAATAAGTTTTACTTCTAGTTCTATTAAATTAGCAAAAATTTGTGTATTGCGCACAGAATCAGTGGAAACAGGTGAAAAAATACAGCAGAGGGGCCCATCGACTGCAATGGACATTGATGAAAGTGAACTTAGCAACTCAAGGGCAGTAATGGGAGGGAGGGAATGAGAGAGAAAGAGGGAATAGCTGATACTAAGCAAAAGGAAAGAAATGTACATGTCACCCGATTTGTAAAAAAATAGTTTTATTGTTAAAGGTCATAGAGTTATAAGCAATGTAGATTAAGATAATATGACTACCATTGTGAAGATTAAAACATGTTTGTGACTTAAAGAAAAGTAAAACAACAACAACAACAAAAATTTGTGTATTAACTGCTAAGTCTCTAGGTAAGCAATTTTTTTTAAGGTTTACCCATCTAAAGGACCTAATTCCTTTAAATTCTTCTGAACCAGGATGTTTAATCAGCACGTTAGCTGCCTATTGTCTGTTAACTGCATTCCAGTCACTAACTGGAGTTTAGAAATAAACTAAATTTAACATTTCTCATGTTGCTTCATATTCTCTAAAAGATCTGCTTCTCTGAACTTTTGCAATACTTTCTACCTGTTCCACTGCTCAGTCTCTGACTGCATATTCTGATTTATTATGCTCTACTAACTTCTTACAGGAGTCTGTCAATTCAATTAATTGAAAGATACTTGAAAGCCAAGAGTCGATTCATTTGTTCATTAAATATTGGCAGTTCCAATATGTTGATGCGAGAAACAATTTAATTTCCCTCTGCTTTTCCAAGTCCTTGGGCAAGGCCCCTGTAACAAAAAAAAAGAAAAAAAACAGATTAACAAAAAGAAAACTAACTGAAGTTTACTATAACATGTATATCTCAACATACATAAGAAATATCCAAGGAATGAGTAATTTTCAAAGAGATAGATTAAGCACTCTGGCCTGTAGAAACACCTTCAGCAAATAATCGATTTTTAAAATAACAAGACAAAGGAAAAGGACTTTGAATCCCACATACCAGCAAATTGTAGGAAGATATACATATGGATAACTAATGGCAAATAAAGCTCCTAAAGTCTGTTATGTAGATTCCTCTAGAACTGCTAAACCAGGAAAGGACTAGAGTCCACTCAGTCTGGGAAAAGCTCCTGTCCTTTTTGTTAGAGAAGGGAGGAGGGACACCACTGTAAATTCATGCCCTGCTTTTAGACAAACAGGGAAAATGTCTGGAGCTTTTGTTGCTTCTGCCTCAGTTGTCATCACTCAAAATAATCCTCATTCCAAAGACATATTTTGTAGTGGAAGATTCTTCTGCCTATTACGGGTTTGAGAAACAAATATAAAATGGTCTGACCTTCCATAATCTACTGAAGGAAGAGATATGTAGACACCATCTGTGAGCTGAGCAATGGCTGGAAGTCTCAAGAGCAGCCATCTGCAGCCTGAACATTGAACCATCCTTCCTTCATCTTATAACCATGTCTACCAATGAATATACTAACTGTCCCATTGCATATCTTAACAGACTCAAGGACAAAGGCACAGAAAGTTCAGAAATGAAGTAGCATCAAGTAAAAATTAATGGAGAGCTGGGGAAAGCTGAGAAAGATGACCAGATGTTAGAAGGAGAAGTATCATTTCATGATGATGCTCTTCCACTGCAGAAAAACCACAATAATCAGCACATTGTGAATTGTGCTGTTCATGACATTGCCAAAGGCATAAGTAGCAACAATTTGGAACACCAGCTCCAAGCTACTCAAGCAGCTAGGAAATTGTTTTCTAGGGTAAACATTCCCCCATAGACAACATAACCGTGGCTGGTTTGATTCTAATTTTTGTTTCTGTATTGGTTACCTTTCTTTTTTTTGGGGGGGGGTCCAGTCGTGGGGCCTGAACTCTGGGCCTGGGCGCTGCCCCTCAGCTCTTCAGCTCAAGGCTAGCGCTCTACCACTTGAGCCACAGCGCCACTTCCGGCTTTTTTTTTTCTTTTTGCTTATGGGTGCTGAGGAATTGAACCCAGAGCCTCAGGCATGCAAGGCAAGCGCTCTACCACTGAGCCACCTTCCCAGCCCCTTGGTTACCTTTCTTATTGCTGAGACTAAATGTCTGACATAAATAACTTAAAAAGAGATTTATTTTAGCACATAGTTTCAGAGGTTACAGCCCATGAGGACAGAGAGAGCTTGGCAGATCAGAGCAGCACACATCATAGCCAGAAAGCAGAGAAGAGTAGGTCTGGCTTTCTCCTTTTCTCTTTTATCCCAGCTGTGCCTTCACCCTATGGGAATGGTGCCACCCACATTCAGGGAAGAGATCCCTTCTTTGTGAATCCTCTCTGGAAAGAAACTCACAGCTATAATAAGAAGTATACTTTATTGATCTCTTAGGCACATTTCAATCCACCTACATTAACTGTCAAAGTTACTCATCATGGCTTCATTCTTGGACAGAATTTATTGCAGTCCTAATTGGTTCAAATGTGGCTGGGCACTCACTAGCATCATTTCTAGGACATCAGATGATATCAGGTGGATACAGTGCATTCCCAGCATTTATTTCTCTGCTGGCAACTGATCATGTTCATGTCAGTGAAGAAGCAGTATAGGATTGGGGGAATATTGCGAGTGATGCTTATCAAGTATGGTATGGTACCACTAACCTTCTGTGAGATCTTCTTGCAGTTTCTGATATGTGAAATAATGTAATTGTTTTAATTAGCCTTACCTGGATATCTTCAAATCATTGTTTTACTTTTTACAAAAAAAAAATCTTTTTGGTGAACAAATTCTTCCTATTTTGTCTCTGACATCACAATGATCTAGAAGTACTACCTAATACCATGCAAACATTTCAGTGAATGTGCTGATATGGTTGTGAAAACAGGAATTACACTCATCTTGAAAAGATTCTAGGAGCTACTGCATTGCCAATTGTTTCTTATGCACTAAGAGCCATAGGGAATATTATCACTGCAATACATGGCAGACTGTGATAGATGTAGGTGCAGTTGTCATCTTTTCAAACCTGCCAACTAATCTCCAGACAAAATATTCAGTAAAAACAAGCAAACAAACAAAAACTACAAAGACCATGTCAAACATCACAACTGGCCATCAGAATCAGAGACAATAAGTTGAGAATCACAAATTATCCCATTTCTATTGGCATTTTCATTTAATATTTTTTCCAAGTCTTTCCATTTCCTTATGCATGGGGTGATGTCATTCTTTCCGATGGATGCATAGAATTCCATTGTATATATACCACATTTTTCTTGACCCATTTATCTACTAAGGGGCATCTAGGCTGATTCTATATCTTAACTATGGTAAATAATACTGCAATGAACATAGTTGTGCTGATAGCTTTAGTGTGGCCTTGTTTGTGGTCATTTGAGTAAATACCCAGGAGTGGAATTACTGGGTCATAAAGGAGTTCTATGTTTAGTCTTTTGAGGAACCTCCATAGTGTTAGCATTCTAAGGCAGACTTTAAACCCAAAGGGAGGCTATATGGCTTGTGTACAATTAATTACACAACAGGTGGAACAGTTGAACAGATTGTATACCTCCTTTACAATGACATAATGAAACCACTGGTGAATTACTAAACAGCTAAAAAATACCAAGATCATTATTATTATTATAGTTCTTTGGGTGTGGGTGTGGGTGTGCGTGCGTGCGTGCGTGTGTGTGTGTGTGTGTGTGTGTTGCTGGGTTTCAATTCAGGGCCTTGTACTTGGCAGGCAGGTTCTCTACCACTGAACTATGCCTCCAGTCCTAATTCTGGTTATTCTGTATGCCATTTCAAAAAGCTTTCAGGCTGCTGAGAACCTGGATAAAGCCAAGAGACTTAGTATAATACTTAAAGACTGTCAGTTGAGCCAAATGAAGCTCTATAAACCCATAAAAATGGGTTTGTGTATGAGACTTCATTAAGCTTGCCTGGGAAGTATTTCTCAGTTGAGCAAGATCAAAATGTTGTGCTACAACTATGTTTATCACAGCATTCTTCACCATAGCTAAAATATGGAACCAACCCAGATGCCCCTCAGTAGATGAATGGATCAAGAAAATGTGGTACATAGACACAATGGAATTCTATGCCTCCATCAGAAAGAATGACATTGCCCTATGCAAATGGAAAGGCTTGGAAAAAATTATATTAAGTGAAGTAAGCCAGGCCCAAAGAAACATAGGTCCCATGGTTTCCCTTATTTGCAATATCTAGTA